GTATTTTATAATTTTTTCATAAATTAAGCTAAGGTGCCTCTCCATTCCCTGTAACTTTCACCAATAGTTTCTCATTTTTTCTTCTGGAAACATTCCTTACACATTTCTACCTTTTTCTGCATGGCAACCTTTGAACTATTTGATGAAATCTCTCAAGTTCCTCATAAGTCCCTAAACTAAATTTTGTTAGTAATTTTTCACTATTCTTATGTAGCTTGATTCCACTGGTCTTTTGTTGATAAACCGTCTTCTCTAAACCAAGCTCTAGTTTGTCATTTTTCCTTTTAAATTACAGGTCCAAGTATTGAAAATATTGTTCTGGTCAGCCATTTGACTCTTTGCTTAACTCTGATAAATGTTTCCTTGGTTTTAAGGTGCACCTAATGGTATGTATTGACTTTTCAGCATCTTGGGATAACTATGGAGAATGTATATGAATGGTCAGGACCAGATAGTTTTACCAGGCAATGGTGGCACATACCTATAATCCCAGCAACTTGAGAAGCTGAGGCAGGAGGATCACAAGTTCTAAACCAGCCTGGACAACTTAATGAGACCATGCCTTAAACTTGTAAATAAATAATAAGTGCTGGGAATGTTCCGGGATATTGCTCAGTGATTGTTAAGCAATATAGAGATCCAAGGGAAAGCCCCAGAACAAGGTCAGCATGGTGGCTAGCTCCTCGGGAAGCAAAGCTCAGCACCAAACAGAGCTCCACCATAAGTAATCACCACCCCATCCCTGGCACCCAGCTCAGACTTAACCCATTTATCTAACATTGATAAGTACCTATTGTATATCATACAGTGTTCTAGAATCTTCCTACATTCTTGGGTGGGAAACTGAAACATATATATATATATATATATATATATATATATATATATATATATATGACAAGATACTATGAAGATAAAACAGGAGATATGGATAAGGAAATTGGGTTGTTTTTATTTTAAATGGGATAGTCAGGAAAGACTTTTTTCCAGTCTTCCCTGAGAAGATGACATTTGAGCAAATAGTTGAAGAAGGAGGGGCATGGATCATAAAGAAATTGGAGAAAGAATTTCCAGCAGTGGGAACAGGAAGTTCAAAAGGTTCTGAAATAGGAGCATGCCTTCAGTGAGGCTGTGTGCTGGAGCAGATAGAGCCACCGGGGAGAGGCAGGAGGTAAGGACAGGTAGGTGATAAGGGACCTTGAGATCCTATCAGGTCTTTGGCTTCTCCTTTGAATGATGCAAGAAGCTCCTTGAAAGTTTTGATGAAGATAATTTATATAAGCTGGGCTACATACTAACAGAATCACTCTAGTAACTGTGCTAAGAAAAGACTGTGCAGGAAGAGAAAAGAAACCATGGACTATTGAGAGGATCTTTCCATATTCCTTGTAAAGGAAGACGATGATTTGGGTCATGGCAATGGTGGAGATGGTGAAATGTGATCTTTTCTGTTTTTTTTTTTTTTTTGGGGGGGGGCGGGKGGTTGGTACTGAGGATTGAACTCAGGGGTACTCTACCACTGAGCCACATCCCCAGTCCTATGTTATATTTTATTAAGAGTCAGGGTCTGACTGACTGAGTTGCTTAGCACCTTGCTTTTKGGGGAAGCTGGCTTTGAACTCTYGAAACTCCTGCCTCAGCCTCCCAAACCACTGGGATTACAGGTGTGTGCCACCGTGTCTGGCTTGGTATTTATCTCTGAAATAAAACGAACAATATTTGCTGATGTGTTCCATGTGGGTGTGTAAGCAAGAACGAAGTTTGAAAGACTCTGAAATTCTTTTTTTTACTTTAGTCACCTCAATGGATGGAATTGYCATTAGCTGAGCTGAGGAAGACCATGGGAGGAACAAATTTATAGGGGAAGACTGGAAGTTTGATTTTAGTAAATGTTAAGTATAATTTGCTTGTCTGTAGCCCAGCTGTGGCAGGGCAATGGGGTGGGTTGCAGGAAACCCAAAGAAGGCGCCTGGAGATAGCATGGGAGAAATACGATTTACCAGGGAAAACTTACTGGAGATCAGTGACTGCTCCWAGAAGAGTTCAGTAGCAATTGGCTGAACAGACAGCACCTCCATCCAAGGTGCTTCACCAAGCAGTGCCTCCTTTTCCTCAAGGCGTTTTGCCCAGTGGTGGCTGGATGAGTGACACATACTCTTCCCGCTGTGCTCTCAGTTCCATGCCCCTCTCCCACTGAGAGAGGAGTTTTAGACTGAAGAAGCAGTGACATCATCAGCATTATCTTGCTTAGTTTGCTTGTGTGGTCAGCTCCCAAGGAGCAACTGTTTTTGTATATGCAAGAAAGTCGCTTTCTACAGTTGATACTAACTCACTCAAGTGTGCATAGGAGAAAACTAGAGTTTTTTAAGGACATTTCTGGCCCAGGCTTGCTCTCATTTTCCCCTTAAGTTGGCTAGGTTTTGGGGAAACAGAAAGGGAACATTCAGGGAAATGATGTTTTACTGTCTCCTTTTTCTGTAGGAATGACATATTTGCCTATTAGATATTCCTATGGAGACAGATGTCAAGTAGGCAGATGGACTGGTGAATTTAAGAGATCCATGATGAAATTATATTTCAGCTTTATCAGCATATAGCTGGCATCTAAAGCTTAGGCTGTATTCACCATTAGAGTGAGAATTCACATTCAGATGCTGCTAATTCCTGTGCTATTGTATACTGCCTTTAATGTGACCATTATTGTTTTCCTCATCCATCCAAGCCTAAATCCTGTTCATGGATTTATTGTGTATTATTTTAAACTAAATTGACAGGTATTGTTTTTTTCTTTTCTGTCTGATATCTTCACTGTTGCAATCTTGATCCAAGGTTTGGRAATTTTCTGAGATCATTCGAGATTGGGCACATTCAGGGTGGTATAGCCGTAGAGGTTTGGGGATTTTTCTATGAAACAAACCCAACAATTTTCAATGTTATGAAATACATACTTCCAGCCCGGTAAAACTGTGAGTTCACAAGGTTAGCTTTCTCACACAATGTCACTCAAAATAGGTTTGTATTTTATTGGGTGCCTTGCTACTACTAAACCCTTCATGAAATTTCATGGTGTAAGAGACAATTTCTACTTTAACGTGGTAAGAACATGGGACTTAGAGTTTGAATCCGGGCTCTAGCACAGGGTTTTCAACTTTGGATGACTGATTTTATGAAAAGAAAAATAGTGCTGCTGACTTCAGAGGTTTATGGTGATAATAAAATGGGGTCACATTTATTAAAATATTTTATACAGTGCCATTTTATAAATGAATATTTCCACCTTTTGGAGTCTGTAAAAAATGACATATCTGGGTGATAGCATTGTTTTTTTAAAAAATTTTTTTTCTTTTTTTTTTTTTTTTTGTACTAAAAGTTTCTTTTTCAGGGCTCATTACATTATCCCATGTCATTTCACAGCATCCTGTCAACTCACAATGGACATTTTTAATGGACATTAATTTTTAATATTAAACAATATAAACTAATATAGTTTAACATTCTATTGCATCAGTCTGATAGTATTCTTGAGTAGCCATTGAGGGATCAGGAAAAGGATAAAGAGAAAAGAAATGGTCAGTAATGTGTTCTGTTATCCAGGCTTCCAACCTAGGGTGGAGGATTGAGTCCAGACCAAAGGATCCATCCCTGCCCACCGCTTGACTTTCTCCTGGAGTGGCCTAGCTATGGAGGATTCCTTACTGGTTCTTAAGGAAAGCTTCCAGACACACAGACACTTCACTCCCAGGTAAATATGTTTCATCTTTTTTAAGAACTGCCAGGGACACAGAAGTTTTCTCTGGGTTTCTTGTGTCCCTGTAGCCATTTTTATATTATCGTTATTAGTAGTAGTCATATCGTAGTAGTAATGGTGCTGAAAACTGAAACCCAAGAGTGCTTTACCCCTGAGCTATGTCCCCAATCCTTTCTTTCTTTTTGTTCCAAGAAAGGGTCTTGCTAAATTGCCCAGGCTGACCTCAAATTTGGGATACCTCARCCTCCCTAGTCACTGGGAAGATAGGCATGTGCCACCACACCCAGCTCCTGTGGCCATTTTTACATATCAATTTATTCTTTATGGTTGCATGGAGGGCTGGGGAGGTGGGATGTTCCAGAGAAAAGATTTTCTTTTGTTACAAAAAAATTTTTTTTAATTCTTTTTCCTAAAAATTTATGGCTATGGGTTTTCAAAGGTATATTACCAGGGAAGAGRAATGCAAAGAAAAGAAATTGGGTTATTTTGCTTGTTTTACATTTACACTGTCCTTTGTAGCACCTATTTCTCTTGCTATGTAAAAGAATGACTTTAAAAACTACAGGAAGGTCTAGACCTTTTTGGTTTTCTTCAACATATTTTGCCTTTCCCTAACCTCACNGCATGGAGGGCTGGGGAGGTGGGATGTTCCAGAGAAAAGATTTTCTTTTGTTACAAAAAAAATTTTTTTTAATTCTTTTTCCTAAAAATTTATGGCTATGGGTTTTCAAAGGTATATTACCAGGGAAGAGAAATGCAAAGAAAAGAAATTGGGTTATTTTGCTTGTTTTACATTTACACTGTCCTTTGTAGCACCTATTTCTCTTGCTATGTAAAAGAATGACTTTAAAAACTACAGGAAGGTCTAGACCTTTTTGGTTTTCTTCAACATATTTTGCCTTTCCCTAACCTCACTATGACTGGTTTATGCTGTGTGTGTGTGTGTGTGTGTGTGTGTGTGTGTGTGTATTGGGGAGGGGAGCATCTTCCAAATAAGATTTCTGCTTGAAAATTTTTTATCATAGGAACCTTGGAATTTTATCAGAGCTAGTTAACTAGACAAACCAACAAGTGTTTATTAGAATCCCTAGTAAGTATCTGAAGCTATGCGAGGCCAATTGGATACAACATTTCCTGGGTGTGAAAGTGGGGATTTGGGCTTCAGCCCTGTGTCTGTGGATCTCACATAGCATTCTCTGAGACTGCAAAAAAAGTCCGGACTATGTYCTCTTCTTTCATCAGAAGGAGGGCCATGCACAATCAAGGCTCAAGAAATCACAGCTTCGTAACTGAGTTTATCCTCTTGGGCTTCTCCAGAAATCCCAGGACCAATTGGATCCTTTTCTTCCTCTTCYTCTTCCTGTATTTATTCACAGTCTTGGGCAATGGGCTCATTGTTACCCTGATCAGAGTAGATGCACGTCTCCACACACCCATGTACTTCTTCCTCAGTATCCTCTCTCTGCTGGATCTCAGCTATGCCACCACTACAGTGCCCCAGATGTTGGTCCATCTGATAAGCAAAAATAAGACCATTTCTTATGCAGGGTGTGTGGTTCAGATGTACATTTTCCTGACCCTAGGCATCACTGAGACCTGGATTTTTGCAGCAATGGCCTATGACAGATATGTTGCTATATGTCATCCACTCCACTATGGGGTCCAGATGAGCCAAACACTGTGTGTACTCCTAGCAGTCAGCTCTGCCCTTTGTGGACTTATCTGTGCCCTTGTCTACACAGTCTTTGCAATGAATCTTCCCTACTGTGGCCCTAATGAAATCAACCACTTCTTTTGTGAAATTCCTGCTGTTTTGAAGTTAGCCTGTGCGGACACATCCCTCAATGACCAAGTGGACTTCATCTTGGGTTTCATCTTGCTTCTGATCCCACTATCCCTGATCCTGGCCTCATACATTCRTATCTTCACTGCTATTCTAAAGATTCGTTCCACCCAAGGGCGGATCAAGGCCTTCTCCACCTGTGCTTCCCACATCACTGTGGTCACCATGTTCTGTGTTCCATGCATGATCATGTATATGAGGCCTGGCTCTGAAGCCTCCCCAGATGATGACAAGAAGTTGGCCTTGTTCTACAAYGTCATTTCAGCCTTTCTCAATCCCATTATTTATAGCCTCCGGAACAAAGATGTGAAGAGGGCTTTCTTCARGTTATTTAGAATGAGTGAGGATGCTCAATAGGCAATGGCCCACGAATGTCTGCAGTGCCTCTGTCTCTCACAAACACCATCCACAATTTCACTGATGTCATTGTAATGAAYAGGACTTTCCAGATGAGGGAGAGATCTAAAAACAAAACCACTTACTCATTAATTTGGAAATGTATTCTACTGTCATGTATAGCTAAAAAGAACCAATAAATTAAAAAGAAAGAAAATGGAAACATGAGGAAAGAACTCAGAGAAAATTATRTTCATGGATTAAATGTATCATTGACATTCCATGGCTTTGGAAAGGTCACCTAACTTCTCTGTGATTTAATTTCATATTGGTCAAATGTGCTTCATGATATTCATTATGCCTAAATAATAATAGCTAACTCTATTGGGTTTTTTTCTGTATGAGTTACTAAGTATTCTACATGAACTTATTATTTTAATTCTTACAATAACTCTAATGGTAGGTATTATCTCCTTTATTCATATTATTTTTTCAAAAAAAAACTGACACAAGAAGATTAAATACATTGCCAAATGTCACCAAGTTAGAAAATAAAACAGTTAATATCAAACCTAGAGAGCACAGTTCCATAACTCAGTCTCTTATCTATTATATTATGCCATACAACTCTGAAATATCCAATACTTTTGAGGCTTAKCAGAGATAATGAATGGTATATTATTGAGTAAAGTTGAAAACAATCAGAATTATTATTCTAAGT